GGAATGACTGTGCCACCTTCCAATCTTTCTCGAAGTAGTATAGCCTAATTTTGCGAGTATGCGGATGGTTTTCGAGTATATTCTTGTAGAGGAAATCAAGTAGATCATTTCTAGAAAAAACCCGAACTCAATATTTGAATTCTATCTAAAGGAAAAAAGCCGCAAAAAATTCCGCAATAATTATGCATCAACCTAATAGGAGGAGAGGTGTTGTTGCTCCTCAGAACTACTCGAATGTGGGCTATGCAAGAAATTAGGCTACAATAAAAATTTCTAAATCTATGCAGTAAGTGCAAAGCAGGTTGTAAACTTGTAAATAAGTATGTTAGACCTAAGCAAGGCGATTACCAAGAATGGTTTTTCAGAAGTTGATCCTATTGATACAATGGATATACAGAGTGGGGTAGTCAAACCGCATGTTTATATGTAGATAATCAAAAACACACACAGTAAGTGACAGTGACTGAACCGTTCTATCTACACGGTTTCAAATTAGTAACCGTGCAACATTAGGCTAGTGCACTGCGAGAAACGTTTTCGCGAACCGCTTGATCAGTGAAAATTATGATATTAAATGGCATCTACGATCGCCACCACTGAGCTCTTGCGATTTCAGTCTAAGAGGACAGATCAAGTCAAAGGTTTTCGAGACTTGTCCAACAACGGTACAGGATTTGGAAGTTTGGATCATACGAGAAGTTGGTGTGATAACACCAGCGATGCTAAGACGTGTCAGTGGGAATTTTGGTATGAGACTCAGACACTGTGATCAAAATGGTGTTCACCACTTAACTGGAATTATACTCGAAAAGTAAAATTTGAAATGTTGAATTGCGTGAGTTTGAACGTAATGTTAACGTTAAGATTTTCATTTGTGCTCCTGAAATATGAGCAGGAACCTGTTTTCCTGTTTTTTGCAAAAACTCGGAGTCGTGCGGTCAGACTGCCCCACCCTAAATTGGCCAGCATGGCATTTCCTGTTTGTATGCTTGGGACTTGAGAATATTAAGGGAACATTCAGGCACAAACAGTTTATGATAGCTGGGTCCTTATGATGAATTAATGCTCACTTTAGTTGAATTCTAAAATTAAGACTCATTCTTTCATGCTGCGAGGTGCACATTTTGACCAGTCCTAGACGGGAAATGGGTTGTTTGAAAACTCAAGTATCAAGTGTGTAGAAGAAAACTGTACTGAATGAGTTGTAGAGAAATTGATCAACTGTGAGAACTTGAAGAAAGCTACTCATAATCAAAAAAATGCCGACCTCGCGGGCTGAACGTTGTATTGCCGTGGAGGCTTTTTCTCAACATGCACCCCCGCATTTCAACATAAGTACATCCACTTATTGATACATGCTCGAAATAAGTGTAGGATACCCTTACTGCAACACGCCCAACGAGCAGAAAAAAAACTAAAACTTGAAGGAATACAGTTCCAGCTGTGTCCGTCTCAGCATCTGATCTCTTCTGATCGTATACTTTTTTTTGATATTTTGAAAAATTGACGCTCTGCCGTAGCTCAAAGAAGCAACATCTATCAAAACCACCCCATCTCCAGCGCTGTCTACTGCTTCCTCTATATAAATGCCGCTGCTAAGAGCAGCACCAGATATCGCTAGTTGCAACAAGGTCTTCCCTTCTTATGCGTTGAATTTCTTGATCACGATACCTATCTCTGGCGTCTATTCTTCGAAATGCTAGCCTCCACTCTCGTTCGTCGAATCAAAACTTTCAAGATTTTCAAACCGGAAAAAACGACTTTCTACATGTTACTAACAATGCTTGAGTCTATGTTTGAAAGTGTGAATTTTGCAAGCGACAGAGGCTATGACGACAGTAAATGCATTAACTTAGCTGTACATTTGAATGATGTGATGTCAGAATGAATCAGAAATACTGGGTCAGCAAGCCAATTCGAACCGAGCAAGTAACGAAACCCCCCACACCTTATCCCTTATCTACCTACTCTTGAATCAATGTAGTCCAGTGTTAATGAGTCATTATTTTACTACCCCAATCCACAATAGGAATTTGCCAAGAGAGAGCGTGAACGTTCCCGATGAACGGGTATACATCAAGCTGTATTCACTACAAATTAGAGATATGGAAAAAAANAAAAAAAGGACAATATGAAAATGAGGTGTGCGCTGGTAGGTGAGGTAATCTTTCAGTGGAGAATTGATCGAAATCCTTGCAGTAACACGTCTTTGGCCTGACTAAAAGTTTCAAAGGCACGCGCACCCACAGTAATTTCGAGGCGCTCAATTCGAGTGGAATGAGAAATGTGTTAGCTTAGAGTACTGCAGAGGGAGCGAACAAAACGCAAAAATTGGCGTAACTTGAGGAATATAGAATTTCAAGAAAGCAGTAAATTTGGGTTGTACGTGATCATGGAGGCCAATGTGTCTTAAATGGAGGCGAGATCTCAGTCTGTAAAAATGCGTGAAGAGCTGGCTTCGTTAGATTAACGATGCCAAAAATAGTTTTCCGCTGCCGCTATTGGTCACGACTGGTTGTTGGACTTTCTACACGAGTATTTTATAGTGAGTGGTGCAGCCTTAACAAGGCCGGCACAACTCGGCCACTTTTGGGTGTGCACGTCGGCTAAGCCTTTTTTAGATCTCTTGTCGCACCTTGTTCAAACCGGTTTCTAACCAGACAGTGCCCCATGTGCTATGTTTGGGAGCCACAGGTTCATCCTTGGGGGAGCCTTTAAATCCTTACCGATTACCGGAAGTGTTTGTTAGTTTCACTGAGCAGCGGGAATGGTTTTCAGTGCGAGAAACTGTCCTCACTGTTTTTCTTTATTCAAAGAGTTACTTCAAAGGAAATGGGTTCCCATTTACGAACAATAATTGGGCTTCACCAATGAAATAACGACTGGATACTATTCTACTATTACACCCCAAAAACTCAAAATTTTAATTTTCGATGGAACTTCGCCTATAGAGGTAATCCGATGCCCTGATAACGAATATGACCTTTACTTTTAGCGCTGGCGCCATTTGGCGCCATTGGCGCCAATTTGGCGCCAAGGGTGTTTTCACCAAATTTGCTGAAAAGTTGCGTTTAGGGGTTATTTGAGGTCCTGATAACGAATATAACATTCATTTTTTGCACTGGCGCCAAAAATGAATGTTATATTGATATCTGATAACGAATATGACCTTCATTTCGCCAACGCCAGAAACGAAGGTCATATTCGTTATCAGGGCAGACGAAGTTTCATCGAAAATTAAAATTTCGAGTTTTTGGGGGTGTAACAGTAGAGTAGTTCTAGGGTGTAATGGTAGAATAGTACCAACGACTGTGCTGAATATGTAGTGGTATGGTAATGGTTCGGAACTTTGTGACCGTGAATCGACACTCCATTACCAAGGGTTTGATGCCGAAGTACATTTAACAATGTAAATTGAGTTTCTAGACTATTAATCGCCTCCGTTGTCCCAATGAATTCCTTTGCTATTGCAATGGATCATGTCCAGTTCTGAGCATTTACTTTAACCAATACTTCCAAGAACTAGGATGTTTTTCCTCTCTCTAAATTCCCTTGAGTCCACATGAGTCATGAGTCTCACCCATGGTCCAAATTTACTAGTTTGGTAATGGGAGGCAACAGTAGACTTTTACGCTGATTAGTCTACCAGTCAGACCACCAGGTTAGCCTGAGTGAAAAACGGCAGCTGATTAAGGTTTTGAAAAGTGGAGTTATAATGGTATTATTTTCGACACGGATAGATGCCACAAGCGGATAAAACTATTCATCAGTAAGACTATTCATTCGGAAACTTCTGAAGAAACTGTTGGATAGAACTGTTGAAAAGGAACCCTCTAAACTCAACAACGTTCGGAAAGAGGGTATCTAGAACGAGCCAGAAAACGGTGCTCCGTTCAGTTCTAAAGAAACATAACAGTGCAGGAAGTATGATATTATATCGATAGCATGAAGTGGCAGAGGAAATGGCAGAGTTACGATTGAAATAATGACACAGGACGCAGTCTGCAGCGGAACGAACCATCTAATAGGAAATGATACGGGTCCTGCGCTTGACTGGTTGTCCTTCAAAGCAATCAACTGAGCTACTTTTGGCGAATAGAAGTATTTATACAAATCAGGAAGCAGTCGTTATATGAATGTCCTTCGTGGTATGGTCTTGAGACAACTATGAAATTGCCAAGGGCATCATTATCACATGAATTCTAGCTCTAGCACAAACATGCCGAGCAGGTCCCAGCCACTTATCATAGTAGAGCCCCCGATGTTGTTGTCTCCGTAAAGATGGCCTCTGAAGCAACGTGTGTTACGGTCGTTCAGTGGTTGAGTTTTATTGGACTCCTCGAGTGATACAGTGCTTGGCTTGAATACGGTAGCAATCATTACAGATGTTACAGATGTCGTACAAAAACTAACGTCAAATGCCTTTTCGAGAAGATGTGACTAATCCTACAGATTCCAGCCAAAAGAGAAGTTAACAAACATATAGCATGTTAAAGTAGAAAGTCGTGGTTGACCGCGACAGTCCGCCGCGCAGAGCCACAAGGCAAACATAAATTGTGTACGATCATGGCAATAAATGAATGCGTCAAATACATCCTACCAAATAAAGCATAAGACAAAATGGACCAAATAAACGAACGAAAGTTGATCTACTGAGTAAAAGGATGTTCCAACTAACGAAGCTGGCCATATCTGCGGGTGTCCATAAATCCCTTCGGACGCTGACGTTACTGTTCCAATGTGCCATCACTACGCGACCCATATCCAAGCGATTGAAGATTGCAACGAAGTCGGAAAGATACGAAGCGGTCGATGTGGCGGCGACAATTCAGCGAATTGTGCGAATAGCTAACGAAGTGATGGCACTTCAAGAGTTGCACGGGAATCAGTCGAAAGTCGAAAAGCGGATGAGGCGAGTGGCCGTCGTATTCGAGCCAATGGACGATGGGTCGACAGCGAAAGTGCAGTCAATCAGTGAGTATCTGGAATCAGAAGGTTGAGGTGAAGAGTAGTGGAAGACGACGGAAGAGATGAGGCTAGGGGGATAATGGATGAAGAGGGGTTGCAACGACCCTTTGACGATCGTGCGACCTCCGGGACAGCCAGGTCGATTCTTCAAACCAGGTCCATTCTTCGGATCAGTGTCGAATCGGTGGTTGAGAATGCCGGTGATTGCGTCGATTTTCCCACCAAGTGAACGTGAATGACGAAGCTCTTTGAAATCTCTGACGGCTTCGGCAAGAGGCTCGATGTGGATTACTGCGTAGACTTTGTCCATGAGTTGCGGAGGCAAGTGACAGTGCATGACGTGATGAATCATAGCATGGATGCCGTGTCTCGCTTTTCTACAGTGTTTTTCTTGTGCCCATGCTGACACCGTTTTGCCAATAAATGCAGTGCTGAACTAGCACTTTGAATAGAAGCTTTGGACAAAATGATATGAGTCACTTTTGACTTATCTTTTTGATAATCTCACGGACTGCAAGGAGGAGCGATAACGCTAGCCTGGTCAAGAGTTCTGTGCATGCAAACACAAGTTGGATCATATAGACTGGTCCAGAGAGGTATGTTACTACACCGAGAAGCGCCGTAAAGCCTGATATTGTTCTTATTGCAACCAATGCGATATTCCTGCGCGATGATCGAGCGATGGAAGTTAAGGCTGTCTTGTGTTGATTTGTTAGAAGAATCACACACAATCGAAAAGAGCGATTGTCGCAAAAAATGTTTAAGGTACATGGTGTCAAATAAAACTCTTCTTCTCCTTCAATGAGCAATATCGCAAGAAGTCTACAACACACCAGTAAGTGTCTTCATTAAAATGGTATTTTTGTGACGCACATCTGTGTATTGATCTCACTAAGAGAGATTTCTCTGCTGAACTCCGTAGAAAATTTGCTTCTTGTATTGCAAATGTTCTCAGCGTAATGCCTCATACACTCATGTTGACAGACTCCTGCTGCCCACAAAGCATGACTAATGCAAAAGTCACCGCGACGGTGATGCCAAGGCGCTGTGGGCTGAATGTTTTGAGGGCGATTTTTTCATAAGCACAGCTGCGGCGGCCTTGCTCGCACGTTTTTGTGTCTCTCTCGCGGGGTATCAAACTTTCGACGCTTGGCTGACAATTTGCAGTGCATGTCATTTGACCACTTTCTCTATGCGCGTGTCGTCGCGGCTGCATGCCTTTCATCCTGAGAACTGAAACGGAAACTAGTACGTCTACAACGAGCATAATAGAAATGAACGCTCCTGTCGGACAGCAGTGAGGATTGCCAGTTAGGTGCTTCAAAAACATGCACAGTAGTAGTAGAGAAGCATCCAAACTTGAGAATAATAGCGCAATCGTAAGGCATGCATAGTGAGGATCGGGTCGGCGGTGAAAACATGCGGTTTGGTTCATTTTCGCTATTAAAAGACCTTATCGCACCCTGAATTACCTTTTTGTTCTAAGTTTGGCTTTTCGGGTAGAGCGCTGTTCACATGCTGTCGTAGTCATGTTGTGAAGAGGCGTAGGCATCGTTTTCGGGGCACCTTGAGGATCAAATGATCCATGCCCGTAGATCAATAGGCCGAAGACCGTTTTTGCTGACGCAGGCCTGATGGCATTATGAGGCTGATGTTTTCGAGTATGAAATTATAGTAGTAGTCAAGCCCGACCACAGTTTGGGGCAATGGATGTTCCCTCGTATCGTCGGCCGGGTTACAGGCAAGAATGTTTCGATCCTGGAGGAACTGCTTATCCACTGCACACAAGTGAACTCCAGTGTATCTTTTCGTTAAGACTGGCTTGGTTTGTATCATTATTTCCAATTCCTTTCCATAGGCAGTGCCTATTTTGACATTGACGATGCTGCTCCCAAATATTTCTGTGTTACCTCCAATCCCTGATATTACACAGGTTTCTCTTCCGATACTAGAAAGTCCGAGTTTCACTCCAGAATCTTCTTCAGTTAGTCTTCTGTGCGCCCGTGTCGGAGACGAAAACAGCTTTCTCGAAGCGTTCTGAATTGTAGTTCTATATGCGGCCTTCTGCGGTTATAGGAACGATCTGATATTGATTGCCGTTACGGTCCGATTTTCGACGACCCATATGATTTCCGGTATTTTTGAATGCTTCATGGTGTGGTCCATGATCTGGGCAAGATGCGTCAAGCCCTTCATTTTCTGCAAAGTCTTCATTAATGTGAGAACCGGTGATGTGAGTTTTGTCCTGCATAGATTTCGTCCTACATGAATCCTTGGGGCTTTCATTTTCACGGAATTCCTTATCATTACTATTGCGTTTGATCACGATACGACTGAAGGTTTTGGCATGTATCGCTATAGGAACTGGCGCTGTTGTGACGGATGGCGGCTTCACTTGGATTTTCGGTTACGAGGCATAGTTTCATGTGATGAAGTTTGCCGCACATCAAGCAGTTCGCCCTTGCACACTCGTTGCTGGAATATTTATCAGAATAGCACTTCCAGCACAAGCGTTTCTCAACGGCAACTTTCCGCCTCTCTGAAACAGTCATTGGGGATCTGCATTGCCAAGCTGTGTGTCCGACTTTTTCGCGGATCACGCACTTTTTGCCTCTGTCGATAGTGTTCGCCTAATCCAATCTTTCCCTTTTCTTATGTTGCATGCCGGACTGGATGTAGGATTTCCCTGCAATTTCTTTTTCAATCATTTCCATGATTCTTTCAATTGTGGCATCCTAATTCTCCCTGCGAACCATTGTTTTCAGCCTTCTTGTCATCTTGCCGGAAAGCACGTATTTGCTGAACGATGCGGGATCTGTTGTCGGACTTGTTGCCGTATTTCTTCATCGTTGTCTGTATCATCCATTCATAGTTTTGAGGCAGGAGTGGGATACCCTTCGTTGCCTTGTCGGATCTTCCTCGTAGGCTATCTTTTGAAAGCAGCATTTCCGCAATGATGGACCATGAAGGGTCGTTGTGGACCGGAGTTTTTTATGCTGCCCAAAATTCGGGGAACTCCTATTTTTCACCATGGAATTTCGGGAGATTTATCTTTGGTGGAGGTATGGAATGCACTTGTTCGATTTTTGCGTGAGACCATTCAGTGTATTGAAGGAAGGATACTATACTACTATACTACTGGTCATTCGAGATGAGATGTATACCGACGTAAGTGTTTTCGAAGGGTGATTTCAAATCTGGATATGACAGATATGAGAGATAGATATGAGCTCTTTTTTCCTGAATTCTGCTGTTCTGCTTTTATACTCGACCAGAGCGTTCCGAACAAGAAGCGATGGCCGAGTTGGGAGGACGATGATTGGATGACGGACTGGTAGGCGCGACACGTAGGTTCGAACCCTTGATGCATCTGCTTGCTTTTCTTTTTTTTATAAAAAGTGTCCTGAACGCTTGCAAAACCCACTTACGCATCATGTAGACCACATACAGTCCTACTTCATATTTGTGGAGCACCAGAAATGATAAGTAAAATCTCTTGTGGCCTGACATTGACCGAATAGGAGTGCAAATAGAACCCTTCCGATCCGGGCACTAGAGACGTGGCCACGAAATTCAGCAGTTCCATGCAATTTCGAAAGAGGGCGGCCGGGCAATTGGCCTGACCACAGCGCTTTTGGATGAAGTAGTGCCCTCTCTAGAAAGTGATAGAAGTGAGCTGGCACAATTCATCTGACATTTTTACGAAAAATTACTGTCGGATTAATACATGAGCGTTTTATGAACAGATATCACAGATATATACAGGTAATCCAACACAAAATGTCTGAAACAGATAAGCCTCTCACAATGGGGATCAACGCGGGAAAAATATTTCAACACACCCATCACTCCCACAGCTCCCATCCAGATGAGGTGAGGAACAATACTGTACAAGAGTTTCCAGTTCTCCCGAGTTCGTATCTAGGTACTCTCCTGCAAACAATTGCTAAACAAGAAGCATACCGGAGAGATAAGGCGAGTTATGGAGAAACGGTCGCTAACGTGGAAGCCCAGATTATGATAAATTACAAGAGACAATACGCTCAACATGGCTTCGAATGGTAAGAAAAAATGCACACTGATAGACTGAATTTGGGGGTTCACCAAGGTGGAACCTTGAGCACTTTCACCTCCTTGCCAGTTGCAAAACACCCCGAATCGCTTCGTGGTCCTTGGACGAGCCCCATGAGTCGACGATCAGTATGGTTGAAGGAAAATCTGTTGATCCAACGCATGATCTAACCCAATCCAGCATAGGTTCTTTGCTCATCGTGTGGGTTGTACTGACCATGATCTCCAGTTCGAAGCGGGGAACAAATGCGATACGGCCACTTTTGGACGGAACATATTGCTTTGATCGATTGAATGTTTTGCTTGTGAGTTTCTGTCGAATCCTCCAGATCTTGCTCAAAATTTTGCAATTCTATTTTCAACAAAGCTTTTGCAGCTCTTCCCTGCTGGACTTATAGTTCACGCGTATTCGTTTTGTGTATTAGCATTTCTGATACTCCGTACGTAGGTTGCCTTTTATATCTCGGGATTAGAGAATAAAAATAAACATTAGTCATTGAAAAGCGCTTTACTGCCTCTCAAACTATTCCCCATTAAAATGTATACACTTTTACATGCATTTGAACCAGTTGTCGGGGCATTTTTGCCACTCCGATTCAGGTATCTATAAACATGCATTCTAAACGCATCAATCGCTTCTTCAGGTGTCGAAAAACGTTGATCTCTCTTTTTTTTTACCTACGGGGATAAAAAGAAGTCGTTCGGTGTCAAAGCCAGGGCTATATGGCGGGTTACTCATCGAATCGATCTTTTGAGTGCTCAAAAATGCAGTTGTTTGAGCCAATGGGTGAGAGGTCGCATTGTCGTGGTGTCGCATTTTTTTGAACGAAATTTTTTCGCCAGTCAAATCTTCATGCAACATTGAATGTATGGTGGTACCTCTAATACCTAAGGTTGTCCCAATCTCACGATAGGTCACATGATGATCTTGCAATATTATAATAGTTTGCGCACAGCCTCGGAACAACAACTGATTTTGAACAACCTCCACGAAAGTCGTTTTGGAGTGAACTACGACCTCGGATGGATACACCATGCCACTGATAAACACACGAGAATGTTCACGATTTGATTCCAATTTTTGGCCTAAATAAATCTTTTAAGTTAGGTTTTTCTGGGTTTGCAAACCTCAAAAAGGTCAAACTTTGCGACAGAGCTGGCTGTTGCCAGATTGCAACATTGACTGCCCAATCCCGAAATATAAAAGGCAATAAAAAATAAAAAAGAAAAATTGAAAAGTTTTGTGAGTATTTGTTTATTAAGCAAATGTAAGTGATTCGT